TGAACTCTTGCTATCTCCTCGAAATGCGGTAAATGCACGTTTGATGTGTAGCTCATTATGATGATTGCGACATGCTAACCATAGGAGAGATCTATTTAACTCAATTTCAATTAAAATTGCTGCTCTTTTTTTATCACCTGTATTGCACGGCTGCATCCCATTTAATTTTACCTGTCAAATCTTTCATTAAAGGTACACCATTAACTTTCGGCCTGCAAACAAAAGTTTAGTTAGTTTCTTTGAAAACAAAAATAAAAAATATACAGTAAATAAGTACCCGTTAAGAGATCTGCTAATAAGAACTGCTACACGTTCTTCATTATGAGTTCTGTCGAAATGAAAAAGCTTCGAATCCCAGTGCAAAATGGCCTTTTTAGGTTTGTTTATCTCCCAGTCAGCTTTAATTGACAGATTTTTAGGTTTGTTTATCTCCCAGTCAGCTTTAATTGACAGAACAATATTCTCCCGCGCATATTGTCTTTGACGATGACTTTGACGTACGTTATCTTTGACTTGACTATATGCCGCGCATTGTCTTTGATGATGCACAGTTGATACTGACATGGGCATATCATTAAGTTTGCCTCCGCTTTTGCAGATGATAGTGGATTAAAATAGAAGCGTTAGCAATCTGATAAACAACATCGGTCTGTCACAGATGACGTGAGAGCTTCTTTGCTGATATTTCGAGTGAATTTGTTAAAGGCATCTTTCTTTCCTTTGGTTGTAAAGGTGTAAACTCTTTATTTTTTTGATCTTCTTCGTCAGCACCTTCAACTAATTCACTGACTTCAAATTTTAAATAATTCACTGACTTCAAAGGCACTAGATTTTTGATCTTCGGTTGACCTTCTCCGAAAATCCATGCTTAGTATATCTTCTTGACGTTCTAAAAATTTTGAAACACCTAGATTGATGCCACCTGTCATGTGATACTTTCTGCTACTCTTTTGATCTTCATAAAATGCCCAATCTTCTTTTCATTTTGGTCTTCGTGATATTAATAACTGTTCATTTGCATTCACTGCTGAAATGTTGCAAAGTTGCTCAAGTTCATTACAAAATCTAACAATTTTTTCATTTCCAACTTTAACATTTCAACTTGCTTGATCAATTTTTTTTTTTACTTTTCCTCCAACAAATATTGCTAAGCAATAAAAGACAAGAATTATCTGATCAAATTGGTACTCAAGCTTTTTCCCAAACTTCCTTACGCTCACCCAGAACACGTTTGAAAATATCTCTTGCAGAAGTATCGCTTTTTGAATAAAAATGTAAACGAGAATATCTACCTAACACATGTTTTTTTGTAGGTAGGCGACTGATGCTTGATGATTTATTGGTTTCAGGGCAACCTATTAACCAATCTTGATTATTTTTTCTAATGTTCATTGTTATAATAAAATATTCGTATATCCAATAAACTTTTAAAATTATTTTTAAAACTTTAATTTTACTAATTGATATAAAACTATTTAAAAATAAGTTTATGAAATTTATAAGTGCACTTAAACTTGATTTGAGTTCTTATATCTTGCACGGTTCAGTGAAATCTGTCCAACCACCGGTATTTTATTATTATATTTTTCAGAGATCGGTAGAGGAGTTTGTGACCAAATAACTGTTGGGGTTAGTTGCCATAAATTTTGGCGGGGCAAGATGGCCGTATATTTTAACTAAACCCAATTGCGATTGGACGTATATTTCAAGTGTTTTCAATTTTTAATTTAATAACTTTTTGAAATGTTACATTAAAATTGATTAGATAGACAGATCACATAGATCCCATGCGAAACTATAAAAGAAAAAAAGAGAGGGTTATAACTCCTCAAAAAGTTACAAAAAATGCTATTGAGAGGCAAAATGAGACACTTAAGCACTAATTTATCAAATACTAACAACTTTTGAAAAAATAACTTGATATTTTTCCGGTCTAACAACTTTTGAAAAAATAACTTGCTATTTTTCAAATCTTCTACCATCCTACTTGAGGCTTACAAAATATGAGTTGTAAAACTGCAGTGGTTCGGTCACCAGTGATCATTTATTGACAGCACCTATCCGGTCTCATTTTGCCCGGCATAGCGGGGTAAAATGAGACAGATTTTTTTTTAATAATTTAAATAAATAAAGTTAAACAAAACAGATCTTTAAAAAGATTAGCAAGAAATACATTTTATAATATATTATAGCTATAATCAAACTGTCACTAATCACATAAATCACATACTGCTTGACCAGTATTTTGAAACGAACAACAGTCCGAATGAACCCAGGTTGTGCACTTTGAACATTGGCTCCAATTTTCTCCTTTTGCAGCCTTATTCCATAAACCATTACAAACATAACATTCCTAGTCTTAACTTTAACTTTTAACTTTTTCCTTTCCTAATGCACTTTTTTTTTCTATTTTGTGTTCTTTTAAATTTTTTGATTTTTCAGAGTATTCGTTATTAAACTCAGTGTCTGGAATTATATCTGGACAAAAAGGACAAATTCCAGATGTACAAAAGCCAAAACTGGCAATTTCTACAGAGGCAGCCTTATTATAGACTTTGGAGAATATACCTCCAAGTTGATCAGTTGTTGTTTTTCTTCCAGGATGCTCACGCAACCATGATCCACATTCTATATTATAAAAAGTTTTTAGCGGTTTAAAAAAGCTTCGATCAAGTGGCTGCAACTTATGAGAAGTATAAGGTGGTAAGGTTATAATAACTATTCCATTTTCCTTTGCAAAACCTAACAAATTAATGTTTTTGTATGAGTTTTGCGCCCATCTAAAATTAAAAGAATTTTATTTTCTATAGAAGCTCTAGTGCACTTAGAAAAGTGTTTTATATACTCCATGAAAAGATCAGTTGTAATTCATCCATTTTTAGAGCACCCTCGAATTGTTCCAGTGGGAGCATAGTCGATTAGTTCTAATTTCATTCGCTTTCTCTTAAAAATCATCATTGGTGGAACAAATAGTCCAGTTACATTCATAGCACAAACAAGGGCTGTTGTAACACCCCTTTAAACTTATATTTTTTTATAACAATTTCTATATTATTGAAATAAATGTTCACAGAGCTGCGGTTTAAAACATAAATACAATTTAAAGACAACCCCTAAGGCTTTCTTATTGAAAGGTCTGGATGTCTCTTCAAAAATCCACTTTCAAAATCTCTTCCTGCAACACCATTATATTTAATAAATAGATGAACTATGTTATACCTTTCTACGTACTGGAAGATAATTTGTTGAATGTCACTTATCGACAATCCATAATAAACTGAATGCATTTATTTAATGTAGCTAACTAATTAATTTTCAGTATCATCTGGTAACACTTTTTTATATGAACCAAGTGATCTTTTATGAATATTACAAGGTTCTAAATTTTTTAATTTTCTTTGAATTCTTCTATGTAAAACATCTTTAATTATACAAAATGTCAAAGCTGCTTTTCTCAATGACATTTCCTTTAAATTTACGGAGTCAGTTGCCATTAACATGCTCTGCTCAGAAAAATTGCCACGATCACTTTTTCTTTTATAGTTTCTAACCATATTTTACTTTATATATATATATTTAAAAAATATATATTTAAAAATACATTTAAAAAATTATATAATACACGTACAACGTTATTTTTGTAAAAGCGGTGTTGGCATCGCGGCTATTTCATAGTGGGCATTACTGCTTTTTCTTATTTAATAAGAATACTTCAATTAAATTATTTAAAACTCCAAAAGAAATTTTCTATTGGCTAAATAATAAAAACTTTTAATTTTTAATTAAATGTACTTAGTAATAAATCAAAAATATTTTTGAAATATATTATGTAACTGTCACACCATTTTTTTATAAAAATCCTTTCCTAACTGTACTATAAACTACTATAAATGGTTATAATGGTTTACTGTACTATAAATTACTATAAACTGTACTATAAACTACTATAAATGGTTAATTTGTCAAAAAATGGAATTGTAAGAAATAATACAAAAACGATTTTAATATTGTCGAAATGTAAATTTATAATATCAAATAATATTTTAGTTCACCGAAAAGAGTGAAGCTGATAAAACTTCTCATTGTTTATCACAAATAAAACTAAAGTTGGTATTTCGTATAATTGGACCAAAGTCTATTTGGTTCAATTTTTGCAAACTTATTCTATACATAATGAGTTTGTAAATGAATTACAAACTCATTTATAATGTATGAACCTTTTCTATATGTCTTATTTTATAGAAAAGATATAGAAAATAATGTTACTCAAATAATTTGTTGTCAGCTTGGAATACAAGTGGCGTTTCATAATTTTTTTAAATTATATATAAATATGCAATTTATGTAAATTTAACATTATTTTAATGAAAAAAATTATTTTGTATAACGTTACATGAAAATAATTTTTTTAAATTTATATAACTTTAAATTTACACAAGTAAGATAATTACATATTTTTATGTTTTAAATTTTTTTTGATACGATACTTGCATTTCGAACTGACGTTGTATGAAAGTCAATTACGCATATAAATTTATATGCAGAAGCAACTTAAGTTGCTTCTACATATAAAGCTTGTAGAAGCAACTTAAGTTGCTTCTACAAGCTTTTAAAACCTTTCATCTTCTACGCAATACAATTACTTGTTTTAAATACTCATAAAACTAGTTATTTCCTTTTAGAAATCTATTTACTTACGTTAAAATATTTGTTAAATTTATTTCTAACAAAAAATTTAACTAGAAAAAATTGAATGTCTTACTTTATTGTTTCAGACATTGAACTTGGGAATATCATAAAAGTATTTGCTTTATAAAAATTTAGCAAATAATTTTTATTTGTTATGGAAAAGTTTTATGCCTTTGAAATGCTCTGCAGGTGTGATTCATTTTCTCATTTCATCCAAACATTTGCGCTTCACTGAATCAATTAAACGGAATTTTTTCAAATATTTTTTAAATGTCGTAGTAATAAATTTAAATTATTGAACTCCAACTTACTTTCTCTGTGCAAAGCATTGTCCAGTTTCTTTCTGACAGCACGTGGACTTTTCTTTATTTTTTCTGCCGCTACTTTTAAAGAGTCCATATTAAACTAAATTAAACATAAATAAATACATACTAAAATGAACATATGTTTGCTATAAAAAAAACAAATTTATGCGGTGATGCTCCGTAGGCGTTTTGTACCTAAATGAGCGTACCATTTGCAACTTATAAAGTTAAAAAAATAAACTTATTATCAAAAAAAAAATATCTTTAACTTTCAAAAATGAATTCACCACTAAATAATTTAGAATACGTTCAAGCTTAGTTTTAATAAAATTATAACTTTTAAAAGACGATGCAAATAATCCTTCATTGTGAAAATATAATTAATTTAATAATTGAAGCTTATACTTTGTTAACAACTATTGTATACCACAAAATACGTTTATTAAAAAAACGGACAATACTCAGAGGGAGGAATTACGAACTTGGTAAACCAAAAAAAAGTGAAAAAAAGTACCACTAATAATACTGGAAACCAAAAAAAAGATATATATAAACTTCTTAAAGAAGTTCAGTAATTTTTAATACTTTTTTTATTATTATTTTAAATTTAGATTCATATAAGTAAGTATATGTGAACGTGTGAATTGTGACATCAGAAGTTCCACAATGATTCAAAAAATTACAAATAATACCAAGTATAACGGTTCTACTAAAACCAACACTATTGATATTCTCGACAAACTTTCTTAACAAATTTATGGAAATGCATGTAAAAAAATAACGTCGACTTATTCGCTAAAATTATTATTGCAATTGAAAATATCTAGACTAACGAAATACCGGAAAATTTCCCGGTGGGCCAGTGGCTGATAACATGTGGGCTGGTGGGTAAGCGTGAAAACATGAAATGAGTATATATATATATATATATATATATATATATATATATATATATATATATATATATATATATATATATATATAATTTTTTTTATTGATGTATCAGATTTTGTAAAAGGAGATCAGGTTATTTTAATACATTAATAATTGTAATAATTTACTAAAACACTTTGTAACAAATGTACGGCAAATATAAGATAAATGTACAACATAATTGTACGAGAAATTTACTTCTTCAACTTATTATTCTAACAATCGATTTTGTCTTAACATGTAATAGAGGCTAGAAAAAATACACACATACGCGCGCACACACGCACGCATGCACACAAATGTATACCTTTTTAATTTTATTTCTTTTTTTGATAAATAATTTGCGCTGAATTTCTTTACAGACATCAAGTAATAATTACTAAACTTGAGTTTTAACAATACTTTAAAAAAAAAATCACAACCATTCAGACTTTCAATAAAATTCGCAACTAAACATTAAAAAGATTTTTACAAAGCCTATTGAGTTCATTTCAGAGTTTATTGTTTGTTTTATTAATTGTAATAATATTTATAATAAAAAAGAATAAATACGAAAAACTTAGTTAAAATACATGATTAAATTTTAAACTCATTGTGTGACATTTACATTATGAATTGCATTATGTTATGAAAAGTTCTTGAGTTCCCTACTAAAAGTTACAACTTTTTATATTTAAACTTTTGAATGTTTATTAATCTGAATATTTTTTCGTTAGGTCTTTTTATCTAAAATGATGGCATAGTTTTGTTTGTCTGGTTTAAAGATAATAACATACAAACATACATACATATATACATACATACATACATACATACACATACTTTAAAACAGAGCTGCCCAGAATTTTAGGTAGGCTCACTTGTCAAACCCCTATTCCGACAAACAGTGACTCAAAACAACAAAAAATGGCAATAAACCCCTCACCACTTTTTTATAAATTAAGTGCTCTTTGTTAGATAATATTAAAAGACAGTGATTTTTTATTTCAAAAGTAAAAATAATTATTTCATAAAGCTTTTATTTTGTATTTAAAAGGTAAAAGAAGTGAAAAAATTTGATATTATTTTTAAAGAAATCTGAAAAATGTGAGGTTTTTATTCAACTAAATTAGAGAACTTGAAATTTAAATAAAAGTGTATATTTATTTTTAAAATAATATTTTGACATATTTTGAAAAAAAAAAAGTCTGATTTTTTCGTTTAAATTTAAAGACTTCTCTAAAAACAAGTAGAAAATAATTGTATTTTTTTGTTTATATATCAGCTAAAAAAAATGTTCCACCGAGTTCCACAAATATTTATATATTTTCCAGTTAATTAACATTTCTTCTTTAAGAATGTAAAAGGATTACTGCGGTCTCCTGCGGTATTGGAAGTTATTAAACAAAAACAAATGTTGATGATTTTATAAAAACCTTGTTTTCCACCATTTTGTAGGTACGTGCGTATCTGGCTTTTTACGGCACCGATTTGTCAGTAAAAAACTGGAACCGCGTTTTTCACAGTTTTCTTGAAGTCGGTGTGGTAAGGATGTATTTATTTATCTTTTTTTTTAGAATTTTATATCAACTTTGAATTTATTAAAAAAGTAGAATGTTTTATGTTGAATAAATTAGGTCTTTTTTTTACAGTTAATAATTTTTTCAGTGTTTTTATTGCTATTTGAAATGGTGTTGTTTTTTTGGAAGTGCATTGATATTGAAGGGATGTTGGTACACTTTTAAAACTTTCCTGTCAACTGTATAAATCAATTTTCTATGTGCCTGCAAATTTAAAGTGAAAAAAAAACATGCCCAGATACCATATTTTTCCAACTAGTGGAGGTACCATTTCCAGCACTTTTACTGTTACTGATACTGTTACATTTTATTAAACAGTTAGTGTTACTGTTACTGTTATTTCTTGATATAAATTATGTTGTATTTTTACTGTTACCAGTTATTTTGACTTGATTTTAAAATTTTGTTTCTGCTCCGATGAGGGGGAAACATTGAAGGCATGTTGGTACACTTTTAAAATTTTCTAGGCAACTGTATATATCTATTTTCTATGTGCCCGCTAAATTTCATAAAAAAATATCAATGCCCACGTACCCTATCTTTCCGCGCAGTAGAAGTTCCTTTTTCATAAAATAAAAAAATTCTTTCAAATATCGCCTTTTCTTTAAGCGTTTTCTTTAAGAAAATTTAAACGAAGCAAAATCATGCGCAAATTAATAATAAAGTTCTAACAAAAATACCGTTAAGCGAGCGCAAGTTTTTTAAGCTGGATCCATTTTCTTTAAGCAATCCTTATAAGAAAATATTGTTACTTAAATGGGCATAACTTTTTGTTGAGTTATTAATTTTTCTTGGAATTTTCACCTTTTTAATAAAAATTTAAAGGTCTTTTCAATCCTATATAATAATTATATAGATAAATGGTTTAAAATTTTTACACACGTACCTACATTTTGCTTAGAACTTTATTATATCAAAACAAATGAAATTGGCGGGAAACTTAAAGTTAAGTTTATTGTTTGTAGAACTTGTTCTAATATAGTTTTTAAATCATAAATATTAAATATAGTTTTAAAAAATGTGCTTTTGTCATTATATACTATTTAAAAGTTTGTTAAAATATTTATTGACAATTTTAAAGAACGATTTATTATTCGATAAGTACAGCCAGGGCCGTACCGATAGGGGGTGTGGGGGGGGGTGTCCACCCCCGCCCCAGATTTTTAATACTTTGTCGGTTAAACAGTACAATGGTAAATTGTCGGTAAGATTACAATCAATTATAATCTTACCGACAACTTTACCATTATACTATTTAACCGACAAAATATTAAAATTATTATTTTCTTGTTGTTTCTGTATTGCAAAAATGTTTTTATATCATCCTTAACGTTAATTTTCAAAGGATAAAAAACTAATTCTTTTTAGGAATTTAACGCGTATAACAAATAAAACTCAGCTAAGCATGTTTTTTGTTGCCGTTTTTTATTCTCAAAAATTGCGTTACGTAATTAGTCAACAATTTCTAATTACTTTAAAGCAAGAATCTTAATCAAGAGACTTGTTTACTTGATGTTTGCAGAGAAGAAATCAAAGTTTAGTTAGCGGTGTGTTTTTATTATTAGAAATTTGGTACTAGTATTGGAAGTTTGGCTAAAGAAGTAATAAACTATTTTGTTTATACTTGTAAGTTACGTATTTACTAATAAAATTTTAAAAAGTTTAAAATTTATTAAATCATTTATATATTTTTTTAAGGCGAATATTTTGTTAGTTTAATTTGTAATTATCTTATTATTTTGGGTTCAAGATGCCACATCCTGGTGTTAAAAGATACAAAGTCAAATGCAAAGTCAAGAACTGTTCACATTCAATTTTTGATAATGACTGTCGGATGACACATAATCAAATTTATCATTTGGATTATATCCGAAACCATAAAGGGATATCTTATGAGAAGTATGGCACACCACGAAACCCTTTTGAAACCAATTCGGCAATAAATTCCCAATCGTGCAGCAAAATAAGTTTGTCTAAAATTAATTTCAATGCCCAAAAACTTTGCCCAAGCAACATTACAAATGAAGTGGAAATGAATATCAATGAAAATCTGACAAAAATCTCTGAAGCAATTGAAAATGAATCATCTGAAATTAAATGTGAGATAATAAATGAGAGTAAAAACATTGATATTACTAATGATGAAATACTAGCAGTGCCTGAAATTTTGGATTTCTGTGATCAAACTCTGTTAGTAGAATCCCAACCGAGTGATGTTAATTTATTGGAAAAAGAAACTACGTTTTCAGATTCGGTGGGTAAATTTGCAAAGCTGTGTAAACTTTTAAGTGAGTGCGAATTAAAACTAGATGAAGTGAAAAATACAGACAATTTACATTTGGAAAAACTTCTCATTGAAATGACAGAGCTTGCTTCTGAGGTAAAAATTTCAGCAGAGAATGTTTTGGATGCCAATGACCAAGCTCTTGCAGACATTTTAAACAAAAGAAAATATGATAATATTGAAACACTTACTACAAAAAATTTCTTTCTTTCGCATGATCCTGGCCAGCGTTTGAAAATTGAAAATGATAATCTAAGAAACTATCTAATTGAGCTCGGACCACATCAAGTAAAACTTAATAACTTTCCTATCAATAAAGATATTGACAAAAGGAAGCAAAATCGTTTTTCATCATTGTGGTACAAAGAATACCCTCACTTACAGTACAGTATACTTAAAGATAGCGCATTCTGCTATGTATGCTGTCTCTTTCCAAATGGACCAGGTAGAGAGAATAGTGAAGTTGCTTGGGTTGAAAACGGTATCCGCACGTGGCATAAAATGAAGAGTCGAGGAAAGAAAGGTAAAAGAGGAAAACTATCAGAACATTTTTCATCAAAATCTCATAAAGCTTCATTATTAGAATATTGCAATTATTGTAATAGTGCTCAACATATTAATCTCCTCTTGGACAAGAAACAAAGACAAATTGTTATTAGTGAAAAAGAAGAAATGGAGTCTAATAAGTGTGTTATAAAAGTTTTTATTGATTTGGCTCGAACATTGGGTAGGCAAGGAATTGCGTTTCGTGAAGATGATCGGGATGAAAATGGAAATTTTAGACAGTTGGTATATTTTATGTCGAGACATAATTTGGTACTTAAACGATGGTTGAGCAACATAAAACTTAAAAAATATCATGTGACATATATGAGTGCTAAATCCCAAAACGACTTCATTCATTTGCTTGGACAAGATGTTCAAAGCAAAATTGTTTCTGAAGTTAACCAAGCATCAATGTTTTCAATTATGGCAGATACAACTCCTGATGTGTCACACAGTGATAAGTTAGCAATTGCTGTAAGGTATGTGGATAATAACTGTAATATTAAAGAAAGAATTGTGCAGATATGCGAGGTAGCTGACAAAACGGGTGATGGAATTGCAGATTTAATAATATCGACAATCAATAACCTTCAACTTGATGTCAATAGTGTTGTGTTTCAAGGATACGATTACGCCAGCTCTATGTCCAGCAACATTAAAGGAGTTCATGCAAAAATTTCAGAAAAGTTAAAACGAGTTGTACCTTATATTCCATGTCAAGCTCATCGAACTAATACTTTTGTTGAACATGCGGTTAAAAGAAATAAAATGGCTTCAAATGTCTTTGAAGTTCTTGAAATGTGCTACGTATTTATTTCTTCAAGTACTAAACAATTCAGCTTACTTAATTCTAAACTTGAGTTTATTGAAAATTCGTTGAATCTTCGCTATCTTTCAAAAACTAGATGGTCAGCGCGTTCAGAATCCACTCAAGCATTTTGGATAAGTATGGAATCTATTGTTGAATGTTTTTATGAAATAAGTCAGTCCGATTTGTTTGATAAGAAAACAAAGGATCAAGCTTTAGCAATACTTAAAAAAATCGTGAATCCAGACTTTATCATTATGCTTATCAAAGGAGTCATTGCAAAAACAAAGATTCTTACTGATGAGTTGCAGAAAGTTGAGTTGAACATTTTAGATGCTAAAATGATTGTATTGTCTACAATACAATCTCTTGAACGAAATAGAAAAGAAGAATTTGAAGTACATCGTGAAATTGATGCAGCAATTAAAATATGTAGCAAGTATGAAATCGACGCGTTAAAAATATACGAAGATCGTCATAGACGAAGAGCAACTCCAAAACGCTATGATGACAATCCTGATACGCTATGTTCTAGAAATATCTATCAATACTACACCCAACAACTTAATTGCGTGTTAGACTGTCTTATTTACGAAATGAATGAAAATTTACTGGCTTCATGGTTGAGCATTGAACCATTTTCTCTTCTTCAGCAGTCAACAAAAACCTTTACAATAAAAGATGTCGAAAAACTGTGCCTATTAATGCCAAATAATGGAGTAAATACAGATGCTCATTTATTTCATGCAGAGTTAGAAATTTTTATGAACACATTTACTAAATCTGATGCTCTAACAAACAATGAAAAATTAAAACTGTCGTGGCAAAGACAAAACATATTCCCAGGAGTTTTCAAAGCTTTCAAGCTAATGGCTTCAGCACCAGTGTCCGTTGCAAGCGATGAAAGAACATTTAGCAAATTAAAAATTGTTATAAATATTTTGCGTTCTACTATGTCAGATGCAAGATTGGAGTCATTAATTTTGTTGGCGTCAGAAAAAGATTTAGTGGACAATATAGATCTTGACGTTATGGTAAAAAAAAGGTCTATAACAACACAAAGACGTATTCAAGTTGAGTAATTGATTATGCAGTTTTGCGTTTTATACGTTAAATTTGTTGTTGTTTGTATATGCTTTTGAAATACTGTAAATTTCATTTGCATTGTAAAATTTATATAATCTTTCAGAAAAAATATATTTTATTTCTTTTAACGTGTTACAAGTAGTAAATTAAGAATGCAATTATGATTTTGAAAATTTTTCCGAAAAAAATCCTTTTTTCAAAACAAGAAAAATTTTTGTCGGTTAATTTGACGATTGCACCCCCCCCCAGTCTTTGTATGCTAGATACGGCCTGAGTACAGCATGTTTGAAAAAGCTTAATTAAACAACTTTAGTATTTCCCGTTTCAAGAAATACCAAATTGTTACATCCTGTTATAACACATATTACTTAGTTAACTTTACAGTACTGGACAAAAGTCTGAGATCAAGGGTTGAAAAAGACTAAAAACTGATTTTAACCATAAAATTTTATTCAATGAGCAACCATGTCAGTTTTTTCCAATATAATTCATATTACTAGGAATAAGTACAACATACTTAGTGAAATAAAATACAAAATGTCCATGTCATGTCAGTATTTTATGGGCATTCCTTTAGCCGCTAGCACAGCAGTAATTCTCCTGGGCATAGAATTGATCAAATTTTCACAATAAGCTGGAGTGATTTCATTGGACCAAACCAACATTATCTTTTTTTTCAAATTATCATATGATGATGGCTTTAAAGCGGCTACCTTTTTCTTTAACAGATGCCAGCAATTCTCTATTGGATTTAAGTCAGGCGAGGATCCCGGCCAAGGAGAAAGTACCTGAATATTTTTCTCAGCAAGCCATTTAATAATCACCTTTGCCCGGTGACATGGTGCACCATCATGCTGGAAGATTGTACAACCAGAAAGAGGCAGCCACTGAAGCAAATTGCTTTTCAAAATTTTCAGATATTTATTGGCATTAATGGTTGTTTTAGGAGGCATGAAACAAATACCTGCTTGTCCTCTGGTTGAAATTGAAGCCCAGACCATAATTGATTGGCACTGTTTAACATTGCATTTGGTGTACTTGGGATTCAGTCGCTGATTAACAGGTCTATAAAAAAAAGAATGAAGAGAAGCAAACTGCTTTATTTGACTTTCATCTGAAAATATTACTCGCGCCCAATCCAAAGCTGTCCAGTCTTTGTGCTTTTGACAAAAGGCAATCCGATCCTTGATGTTCTTGGCAGAAAGCCTAGGTTTAATGGAAGGACGCCGGGCATGCAGGTTGAAATCAGAGGATAGTCTTCGTCTGGTAGTTCTGGAGGAAACAGTAACAGAGGATGGCAAGTTGTGTTGTATTACTGTGGATGATGACATTAGAGAATTAGTACAAGTGCGATGAATCAAGCGGTCAGTCTGCATAGAGGTACATTTTGGTCTACCAGATCTTTTTCGGAAAGTTAAGCTGCCAGTCTGCTGCAATCGAGTTATTGTGTTATGAACTGCAGTTTTAGAAACAGACAAACGTTCAGCAATGCTTCTCTCGGTGTATCCCTCCTCTTTTAAAACACTGATCTGTGCTCGAACTGATATTTGTAACTCACACATTTCAGTGAAAGAAAATTAATGCTAAAATCAAAAATGAGAATTTGAAGCACAAACAGCAAATGCCAGATTCATTAAACAATAACTATATAAATATGCAATACAGTATGTATGTATGTAATGCATGTATATAACAACATAATACCACAACAGCGCTAATATGCGTCAATCCTAGGACACTTTCATATTTATTATCTGCTTTAAACTATTGCGTAATCTATAATTTGCCATCACGCAGTAATAAACTAACGCAAATATCAACGCAAAACCGAATAATATAGTGCATGGTTCATATAAAGTTCAAAGAAGTTATGCGTGCAACATACTACAATCAGTTTTCTACGACAATCAGTTTTCCTCACATCATCAGTGATGCTGACAATAAATAGTTGTGTTCTGAATTATGTTGAATTACTAATATGAATTATATTGGAAAAAATTGACATGGTTGTTCATTGAATAAAATTTTATGGTTAAAATCAGTTTTTAGTCTTTTTCAACCCTTGGTCTCAGACTTTTGTCCAGTACTGTATATTACATGTAATATAAAGTTAACTAAGTAATATGTGTTATTGCAGGATGTAACAATGTGAAAATTGTGTTAAAAGTCATAACAAGATAAAATTTGAAACAGTGTAAAGTAAAAAAAATATGTAATGTAATTTAAAATGCGTCTAATATATTAGTTTTTTATTACATTGATGGTTTTTAAAAACGGTAACAATGAAAAGATTAGATCTTATCCCAAATATACGTGAATTAGGAGTTGATAAATTAAAATTATGGAAGGATTTACTTAATGAAATAAAAAATACTGAAAAAATTTGCAAAGAAAACTTAAATAAAGTTAAGCTTGCTTTATTTATATTTATTTCAAAGGTGAACAAAAAACTAAAACAATGTGGACGAAACTATGATACATTTATACAAAAAGAAAATCGTTGGCTTCAAAGAAATCTCATGAACAATAAAAATAACCATTTTGGTTCTGGAAGGCCCCATAAACAATGGTGTTCTTTTTTTTTTTTTATTTTAATTCACCTCCTCAAGGCCGAGAAGGCCACTACAGACGAGGAGGCTACTTATTTGTGGTTATAACCCTCTCTCAACTCTATAACTCCGAAACACGAACCTTGACGAGCAAGGCCGCTGCGCGGAGAAACGAGTTGAGCGCGGTACTACCAGGGACGTGGTGGGGATCGAACTCGGAACCACTCGTTTATGAAGCGAGCGCTCTACCACTACACCACTACCGCATTCTTGGAGAGAGAAGCAAAAGAAAAAAAATAAAAGAACTACCCATTGAACACCATGAAGCTCTATTTTTAGCTTCTGCAAAAAGTGAAAATGCTGCTGGAGAAAAAAAAAGTCTCTGTTGTAAAAAAAATATATCTAATGTTTTTGAATAAAACCTTTCCCATTAACATGAGTGTAGAGGATGTTCTTGCATTAAAAATAAATACTGATCTCAGCAATAAACAATATCAAATAATCAGAAACTCAGCTCTTGTACACATCGTACATATTTATCCTACCTTGCACGATATTTTCGTGGAAAAATTGAAATGCTATCCTGAGAATATACATTGTTCTGAAATTTCTGCAAAGTGTATATTTCAAAGCATGTTAGATCACTCTGTGAGTAGAATAACAGAAATGATTGATATGCCTATTTTTGGTCAAAGTTGTGAAATATTTGGAGTTTTATATAGAGAGATTGGTTTCGATGGAGCATCAAGCCAAAGTATTTATAAACAGAAATACGATACAAGCAACGCAAGTATAGAACTTAAGCATAAAGAAAATCATTTCAATACAGCTTTTGTGCCTTTATTGCTCAAAGTAGAAGATGGCGAAATTTGGAAAAATGAAAATCCTTTAAGCTTTAACTTTTGTAGACCTCTTCATCTACAATATAAAAAAGAGAGTCCAACTTTATCCTTAGAAGAAGAATCAGATCTAAAAAAATCAAATAAACACCTTAAAGACGTTTTGCAAAGTTTTTAATATTGCAGGAAGAATTTTGACATTTAATATTAGCTATAGGATTGATCTTACAATGTTTGATAATAAAGTAGTTAGCGCACTTACAGAGACAAAATCCACTCAATCCTGCAATGTGTGCAATGCTAAACCCAAGGAAATGAACAATATTGGTTTATTAAAAGCAAAAACTGAGAATGACTCGGCCTCGCGGCTCGGAATTTCAGCTTTGCATTGCTGGATAAAATGCTTGGAGTTCATTCTTCATTTGAGTTATAAATTTGAAATTAAAAAGTATCAGCCAAAACAATTGAGGGAAATCTGGTACTCTTCAGAGTGCGGTTAAGCTTATACGTTGATATGCCTAAAACTGTGTCTGGAAACACGAATGATGGCAACACTGCCAGAAGAGCATTTAAAAATAGTGAAGTTTTTTCTGAAATTACTAATGTTGTTTGTTATATAATTAAAAGATTGCATAATATTCTCATAACCATATCTTGTGGATATCCTATTAATACCAATGAATTAGATTTATACTGCACTGAAACAGCTAAACGTATAGTGAGTTTATACAACTGGTATGTTATGCCTCCTACTGTACATAAAATGCTACTGCATAGTTCTTCTATATCAAATAAATTACCTTTGCCAATCGGGGTATATTCGGAAGTTGCACTAGAGAGTTTAAATAAACAGATAAGAAATTCTAGACTTAAGCACACGGCAAAAATATCAAGGTTAAACACAATGATGAATCAGATGCACTACCTTCTAGTAAGATCAGATCCTAAAATATCAAGCATATCTTTTAGAAAACATAAGAGCTATCGAGGAAAACCGTTACCAGATGAAGTTTTATATTTAATTGTTATGTAAATAATAAATTTAATGTAAAAAAATACAGTATTTTTTTTCTATGTATCAACATCCTTTAAAAACCATTTTTATAAAAATATCAAATAGAGTAATATATCAAAATTATGTGTTTGTCTTGAAGATTCTAAAAACTAAAAAAAAAAAAATTTTGTACGCGTATAGTCACCTTTAACACGCGCAAGCGAGCATTTTACGCGTCGAAGCTGCGCGTTAAAAAAAAATTATTAACAAATTTGAAATCTTTGACTTAAAAATTATTATTTGAATATATAACATTATTTATTTACGCATTATGTCAATTTCTATTTAATTTTTGCCGTTTTTTGATTGTCCTGAGTCACTGTGCGTCGCAATTATTTGGAACAAGTTAAAGTCTTAAAATCAATGCACAATATTTAAATCATTTCAAATATTTAATAAAAAGGAGTTTAAAATCTAACTATTGAGCAATATTTTATAAAATCTTTTCAACAATTTCTTCAAACCTTAGATTGTTACAACGACTCTTTTTTTTTTTAAGTTCTTCTGTGTGTTTTTACAAAACTCCTTCCCATAGCAAAATAATATTTTTTTCTTTTTATCTTTAAAGTAATAAAAAAATCAAGAAAATTTTTTAAAACAAAACTAATGATCTTTCTCAAGCATGAGTAAGCCACAGTATTGAATGCATTTAAGGCATCACTTCAGGAACCTTAAGGAAGAAGACCTTTTTGAATCTCTAAGTTTATTTTTTAATCTCCTTAATCTCTTACACTAGTTTCATTCAAACTCTCCACCATAACGTTTTTGTCTGAAAAGGGAATTCTTTTCAAAGGAGATTCCAAATTTTTCTTGTCCCTATCTAGTTGATAGGTTATTCAACAATAGTTTAATTGTTCCCGTATAGAGATGAATTTTTTTCTTCCATAACTTCAGCTTCATCATCTCCTGACATAAGTGGTTGATAGTTGCAACTATAAAATTTTTTCTGTGAAGAGTCAAGTTTACATCCTTGTTTCCAAGCAAGATTTTGATTGGATATTAATGGATTCAAAGGTTCGTGTATCTCCTGTATAGAAGAGCTAATCTATAAAATTTGTAACTTTATTACAGAAACAACAAGGATACTTTGAAGTATGGTTTTAAAGACCTAAAATTAATTTAAGTAGTTTCCAATCCACGCAAAGTGTAAACTGAATGTTTCCTTAGTAAATACTTTTGCAAATGACTGCACATTTTTCCTAATTCTTCAAAATATTTGGGACAAATTCCCTCGGATTAGGCAACTCCAAACCTTAAGAAATCTCCACCGCCATTAACAAATACATTACATTAAAAGCGTCTTGTTTTATTTTTTTAAATCATTTTTCAGGTGAATACTCCATATCTTTTCCTTGAACTGCAGATCGCATAATTAAAGTTCTAGTTTCCTTATTTTAGAAACCAAGGTCCACTGCTAAGAAGTACTTCATTAAAAATCCATAATTATGTACCATAAATTTTTTAAACCTAGGTGTTGTTAATTTTCGTCCAGGCTTGAACCGAATATTTATTATGCGTCCATATCAGAGCCAGACTCCCCCCCCCCCCCCCTATATTAGTAAACTACTATCTTTTTTTTTCAGAATATTATGAATTATTACAGCTATAATAATATTTAATTTAAATAAAAATTGAAACATTGTTTTTATTAATTATTATAAGAATATTTATTTATCATTTTATTAATAATTGATATTTTGACATATTAATTAACCACGCTTTTGTCTATATTTGATGGCATATACAGCAGCATTTATGACAAATATCAATGTGTTACTCCAAAATTTGACATTTTATATCACTCCTTGTGTTTTTTATTTAACTTTTAGATAGATTAAGAAGCATATATATAGTAGATCAATATAACATTTAGTTAAAATTAAATATAAAATAAGTTACTAGAAATAGTTAAATTAATAATTAATTAAAAAAGTATCTATTATAGTTAATTTTATGAATTTACAATTAATTTATTATTTAATATTTTTGGTTTCCAGTTTTTACCATTACTTTGTTTATTTTACCGATTTTTAGCTATAAGAAATTTTAAAAAAATTTATTGAATTTAAAATTATTTAAGTTAAAAACAAAAAAGAGGCACTGTTTATTGGGACACGCTTTTTTAATTTTGTGAAATATATTTTGTGGAGTACTTTTGCCATGGAAACTTAATTTAGTCATGCGCACTTTTTTTTAACTAATATTTTGATATTTTTTTAATATTTAAACTATAATTTTGATAAGGGCGCCAATCAGGGTTGCTGTTCCAGGCGGTCTGACGGCTCTCGGCGGCCCTGGGTGTGACTATAAGATCTTGAGATGATTTACTATAACTTTGAATGTTTCTTATTTTTCGCTTAAGAACTCATTAGTAGAATTTATTATAATTTTTTTTAACTGCTTTTGTCTTTTGTTGTTTTCTAACTTTTGAAATCGTTCGTTGTATATTATAAGGATTGTATTTTCGTGAATGTCTAGTATTTAATAGCAGTTAGTTATTTTTGCCAGTTTATTAAAGCAGGTAATAATATAATTGAGTGGATTTGAAAAAAATAAAAATCATCTGGCAAACCAGTTATAAAAAAGAAAAACCAAAAAATAATTATGGTATCAGGTATAATAGTAATATTTAAGTTTTTAAAGCGATGATTTTAATTTAATGATTTTAATTGGTCCAGAAAACAAAAAATATGACTTAACCGGCAAAGCTTAAATACGTGATTCAAAACTCGGAATCACAAAAAAATTTGCGAGGTTTTGGAAATTCAGTTCATTATTTTTTCCAGAAAAGTTTGGGATCCTATTTATATATATTTAATGGCTATATTAAAACGTTTTATTATTAAGTGCACTGTGCAATGCAAACTTTACAACATTTTTAAATCAGGGGGTTTTAGACGAAATATTTTTGGATAAATTTACTTTATTTACAACTAATAACTTTTAAAACTGAATGGTTCTTTTTTATTTTCTGTGACTTTTTCTTTTGTTCGTTTTAAAACAAATTCGTCAATCTGCTACTGCTTAAAAGAACATGCTTAAAGCAAAGTATTTTTTTAAGCAAAGAATTTATACAACTAATTTTTAACTTGAAACGGTAAAAGATAAGCCTCAAGTTAAAAATTTCACCCAAAATCATTTAGTTTTAATTTTAAAGAAAAAAAAATAATAGAAGCAATTTATAATTTATTGAATTTCTCTCTCTATATATATATAAATGTTTTTTGTGTATGCGTGTGTTCGAGTATATATGTCTTTGTGTGTATGTGTGTGTTCGAGTATACGCTATACATACGATTCATCCTGAGTCAGTAAACTCGTATGAGGGTTTGTAATTCTGTTATTATTATCATTATATTCATATGGGTTAAATTTATCGTTTTCACTTTTCCAATGAGATGAATTATAACTATTTAAGTCTTCTGAAGATTTGTGTCCGTCAGAATATTTGTAAATAAAATTACCGTCGTTGAAAGCATTTCGAATCTCTTTTTTTAATCGTCTATTAGTTCTTCTTAATTCTCGGGCCGTTATTAATTTATTTTGACTTTCTTTTATAAGATTACAATTCGTTAATTGGTCAATTTTTTTAGGTGGTTGTGTTAAGCAAGTTTTTTTGAGCTGTAAAGACTGGGTTCGAAAATCCTGATTATTAGGTGGACTTTGCTTAACCTCTGATTTTAATTTTAAAGAAAAAGGATGAAGTTGATGTGAATTGTTGTTGATAAATACTGGAAGGGATGGTGTTATAAGTTTATCATCGAAACCGTTTTCATCACTATTGTTTTTACTGATATCATTCGGATAATCCGCGTCATTAAAACATGCTATTTCATTATCTTTCAAATTCGGTACAGTTTTTTGGTTATTTGAAATGGCATTTTGTCTAGATGATAAATACACACGATTAGTTGAATTAGTTATTATTTTCGGTTCTGGTAAAACAGTATTTTTATAATTTTGTTCTTCTGAAGCTACAGAAACTGCGTTATAAGTTGTCACACAATTTAATGAACGTTCAATATAATTTTTTTTGCAACCATTTTCGTTTTCAAATTGTGCAACATCGCATGTTTTGATTATACGCTTGGAATTATTCTGCCGTTCAACTGATGGACGCTTTGTCTTTTTTTCAACTGGTGAAGAAAACTGTTGAAAAGTTGCAATCAATGATTCGATTGCTACCGGTCTTATGTTAGTTGAATCGGGGTCTGTACTAGTAAATGTTAAATTAGGTGACTTATTATCTTTCGGAACATTTGAATTACTTTCGTTACAATTTGAAACTTCATCATGACTGACATCACATGATTTATTACTTTGTATAAAAAGCGAGTTTGTATGTCGCTGAGGAACATTTGAATTACTTTCATTAGAAATATTTGAATTTTCATTATGGCTATCATCATATATATTACTTTGTATAAAAGGTGAGTTAGTATGCCGCAAATGATCATTTGAATTACTTTCATTACAAATTGAAACATCATCATGACTGACATCACATGATTTATTACTTTGTATAAAAGGTGAGTTTGTATGTCGCAAAGAGACATCTGAATTACTTTCGTCAGTAATATTTGAAACTTCATTATGGCTAACTTCACATGATATATTACTCTGTATAAAAGGTGAGTTTGTATATCGCAGAGGATGTACATTTGTATGTTCTACAATAGGGGGAACAGGGGGGATATAATTTTCTACATTTAACTGTAAAACTTGATCAGGAGGAATTGATTTTTTGCGGACATTTGTTTTTGTTATGCGATGCATTGTTTGAGTTTTTTGTATGTGTTCCTCATAAGAAGGAACAGCAGGCTGACGACGCCTGTCAACTGAGTGAAATATCACGTTGGGTGTTACGGAATATTCTGTCGAGAAATGTTTGATAACTGGATGAGAAATTACATATTTTTTAGGAACAATTTCTGATTCATTTTTTAAATCTTGCGAGCTTTTTGAATTTTTAGAAAACTCTTTTTGATCTAAAATTTGATCATCTATTTTCAAGTTTCTTCTGTGTTCAATAAGTTCTGCACTGGTCGTTATACTACTTAAAACACGTTTGTGTTTTGGATGTCGAAGCAAATTCCTTTGAAATATCTCATTAAAGTCAGTGTTTTCGCTGTCAGAAACGTCGCATCGACCATTTTCACTTAATTCGCGCTTATCGGAAGCTTGTAACATTGGTTTCATGGCCAATGCAGAAACATGATTAACAGGATTTTGTTTTACTTCGTCAGAGTCAATTGTACAAATGCTTGAATCACTTAAAGCAAACGGAGAATCCAAATTACTTTTTGTAGGTGAAACCATGTCTATAGGAGTACTTGGTATATCTATTTCTTTTTCTGAGTCGTACTTTTCCCAATCCGTTTCATCTTTTAATCGATAAATTGTTTGATCCGTTCCTGAATCAGAATCTTCACCAGGACCATCATTAAACAATATTTCTTCCTCGCTCCCAAGAATATATTCATTTTCAGATCCAAAAATCGCTAAATAACTATCAATCAAAAAGGAAACAAAATCTGTTGTCCCGCTGGTTTGTTCGGTAGCTTCCATTTTGATTGCCAATGGGGGCGGGGGCCACATGATACTAGGAGAAACACATACTGATAAATTATATGAATTCATGTTATTTCTTTCTGAAAATCTCTGTATATGATACAAGACATTTATAAATTTTAATGCCAGTTCATAATTTTCTTTGGGTAATTGTTGAAAAATTCTGAAAAAAAAAGGTAACTTAATCTAAAAAAATTTGAAACTAATAAAATAAAAATCAAAATGTCCCATAGTTAAAAAACCCACAATAAAAATAAAAATAATACCTTTTGATTTCATCTAGACGCATTTCTGTATTTGCAGCCGACTTAGTTGCTACTAAACTTTCATATAGGGAAGATGAAATAAGACTGTCGGGCATTGACCTGAAAAAATCTTTTATGACAGCAGCTAGGACAATGGGACTCGTGTTATCCATATTTTCATCTTTTCCTAATCAGAATTTTTTAGAGTTTGTTACAAAAACAAGGTTTATATATATATATATATATATATATATATATATATATATATATATATATATATATATATATATATATATATATATATATATATATATATATATATATATATATATATATATATATATATATATATATATATATTGCTCTGTTCTTTTAAAAAATTGAGCAATATATTTTGTAGAAAATAGAGTGTTTTTTTAAAAGAACAGAGCAATATATATATATATATATATATATATATATATATATATATATATATATATATATATATATATATATATATATATATATATATATATACACTTGAAATAATTTAAAATAAATTGAAATAAGTCACTTTAAAGAGGGTTTTTAGTTATTCAAAATAAATTCTTATTCCCCTAGGAGGTTCAAATAACTGGGAGTTTACTGTATGTATATATATATACATATATCAGGCCTTGCGATAAAGCGTCGGGCGATGTGAATTTTACGTCGTCCAAGGGCGATTTTGCGTGTAGCTAGGGCTATTTGCGTCGAGCAAAAAATTTTTTGTTTGAGTATATTTAAAGATATTTTTGAGCGGAATTTTAATGAAGTAATTTACGATCATTTTAACATTTGATAAAGTATTTTAAAAACCGCACGCAGTTGAAATAAAAGTTTGAATTTAAAAAAATTAAATATGCTCATTATTTGGAAGTAGAAAAAATTCAAAAATTAAAAAAAAAGTTTAAATCTTTTAAGCTAACATTTTAATAAAATTATTCAGCAATAGCAACGTTGTCGATAAAATTGAACAAAAATACTTTCTTTTAGTTTTAGATTTTAAACTTAAATAATTATTTTACAGGGGTTTGATAGGTTTTAAAATTATTCCATAGATTTAAAAATATTTATTAACTGTTAGACGTATTTAAAGTATTTAAGAGTGATTTCGAGGAAACATTTTAAAAATTGGTGAGGGCAAATAAAAAAAAAAAAAGATTAATATCAAAACGTATTCTACTTGATTCAATAAAAAAGTACAGTTATTAAAATTTTTGTAAAAAGTAACTCAAAAAAATTACTTAAAATTTGCTTTTATGTTAAAAGTTACCGAAACTCATCGAAGCGTGCTCAAGAACAGCTGCTGAAAAATAGAACGTCAATAGTTTTTCGAATAATTTTTAAGAATAATTTTTAAGAATAATTTTTTCGCTGAAATATTTCTTTTATACCTATAAGATTTTTATTCTAACATTTTATTTTACTTTAATAGAAATAAAATTCCTTGTTAACATTAAAAATCTATTCAAAACGTTTGTTTAAGTTTTTTATTAATACGAGTGATTGTGCTTATCAACCGCTTTATGAAAATAAATAAAAATAAATAAATATTATATAAAATCGCTTGTAAAAATATTAGCTATTGCACAGTTTTTAATCGTACAATATTAAAATTTCCAGTTTATTACTCGCTGACTTTTTAAAAAGAAAAAATAATTATTTGAAAAACTTTAAATTACATATTTAAGAAAAAAAAATCAAATATTAGCATATTTTATAATCTTTTTTAAATTTAAGTTATAATGTTTTTTATTCGTTTAGTATAGACAAAACGCGACAAAGGTCGAGAAAATAAACAAATGTTTTTACATTTTAAAAAACGAAACATTCCAAAACATTTTTAAATAATAACATTTCTACATAAACGATTTAAAGTAGTTTTGCGGTAATTAAATAAATTGGTACAGTTAATGTCGATAAATATGAAAAGCAACTAAAAAGAATTTAATGACGTCAAAAATCGCGTCGTGCTTATGCGTCGCGCAGTTCTTGATATATATATATATAATATATATATATATATATATATATATATATATATATATATATATATATATATATATATATATATATATATATATATATATATATATATATATATATATATTTTATATATATATATATATATATATATATATATATATATATATATATATATATATATATACATATAGGCCTTGGCGGGAGTAAATGAGTGAGCGAGTGGAGAAAAGATCTCAAAATAAAAAACAAACATGGCGAGCTATGCAAGCTGCTCCCCTCTAAACAGCTTCTTACAAGAGCTTTTGGTTTTTCTACAAGCTATCTGTTTATTCATTAAAAAAATGCTTACTAAATTCAAAATTTGGTTTTATATTTGTTACAAAAATTTGTTTGTAACATTAATGTTACAAGAATATATACATAACAAGCAATTATTGTATTGCGAAAAAATTCTTTAGACGAGCACTGTCCTTAGGTTTTCACACTAGCTAATCATTTTTTAACATTACTTATTTGATAAAAACTATAAAAGTTGTTACTGCTCATAAAAAATGTTTTATATTTACTTATTGTAACAGAATGTAGGCAACTTATAAATTATTACAACAATAAAAAATTAATTGGAAATTAAAAGTAATTTAGGTTATAAGAATATCTTAACAAAATAAAACTGTGTGAGCTTTCATAGAATTTAAAAAAAACAGATATTCAGTAGTTAAAACATATTTCTATTTTATTCACGTTTTACTTAGTTTATTTAATTTTTTATTTTTTTAATTATCTTTGCTTCCAACAAGGCTGCAAGCAACCACTAATTAGTGTTGGAAGTTACTGGAAGAGAAAAGATGAAGATTGTAGAGCAAGATAACGATTGACAGACGACTTAAAAGATTGCAAATTATATGAATCAGGAAAGCAAGATGAAGGAAGCGAATTCTAAAGAACTGATGTTCGAGGAAAAAAACTAGACGAATAAGAGTTTTTGGAGCACTTAGAAACAGTAACAGAAAAAGGATGAGACTTAATTGAATGACGAGTAACACGAGAATGAATTTTAGTAGATGGCACAAGAGACGCTAGCTCTTTTGAGCAGTGCCCATTATAGTATTTGTAGAAAAGAGAAAGAGAAGCAACATTACAACGATGTGACAGAGGTTGAAGGTTGGCTGCAAGAGCAGGTCCAACTATGTTTACAATGCGTTTTTGCACCTTGTTTAAAAGAGAAGGGCATCATTAGAAGATCCGCCCTAGATATGGCAACAGTATTCCATTTGAGTATTAAAAATAAAGTCTAATTTTATTAAATATAATTTATTACTTTTCCATTTAACTATATAATATTACTTTTCATTTTTATTCTTTTTAATTTATTTAAATAATAATAAATATTTAAACAATAGTAAATCATTATTAGAAACAAACTTTAATTTGAAATTATTCTGACATTTTTTAGTTCTAAAATTTTTATTGATTTCATTAATATTGAACATTTGGTTTTGGATATCAACATTAAGGTATGTATGTTTTATTTTTATGCAACCATTTGTGTGTAAATTTTGCATGTTCTGAAAATTGTTTTGGTTAGTGGTAACATTTCTGTAACAAGTTTTTATACCATTTAGGATCTTTGATAAGAATAATTAAATTGGAATAAACCATGAATAAAACTTTGGCAGATGTATTTGTTAGTTGATAAAACTATATTTATCATAGATTATAGTGAAATTTATTTGAAATCTGCATCTTTAATAATAGAACCATGCAGTCTATAGCATCTCTATGTAGGTGTGAGGACTGATTCAGCCTGCATAAATATTACACATACCTGCTACATTAAAATTAATGCAACCCCAAAAACCAACACTCCCACTGCTACTTTGCAATCTCGGTACAACAATTCCACTGCTACCTTGCAACCTCGGTACAACACTGCCACTGCTACCTTGCAGCCTTGGTACAACAAATTTTCTATTTGCTATTAATACTTTTATTACTAAAAATTACTTACTTCAACCTTTCTTTAGCAATTCTCTCCTCCAATCAGAGTTAGGGTCAGGGTTATAGGTGTTCTAACACTAGTGGAGTGTACATACATCGAATGAAAAATCTGTAGAACATGTGAGTGTACATACATCAACTAACAATTAAGTAGAATATGCAATGTGCCACTAAATTGACTGAGGGTTTTGGTTTGGACAGGCAATTTATCAATTTAAACTTTTTTTTAATAAGTCTTTTTCAAAATAAATTTATTTAAATATTCTTATATATATATATATATATATATATATATATATATATATATATATATATATATATATATATATATATATATATATATATATATATATATATATATATATATATATATATATATATATATATATATATATATATATATATATATATATATATATACATATAACTATTATTTTTATAATATATTAAAAAATTTATAATGATATTATTAAGATATTATAATTTTTTTAAACAACTTGGTTATTTAGGAAAATTTGATTCAGAGTTTCATATATGTTTTAGATGTTTATATGCATAGTTTATGTCATAGTACATAGATATATATATGTATTTTTAATTTTATACCACTATCAAGGTTCTGTCTAATTTGCTTTGCTGTTCTTTGAAGTGCTGACTTTCTAAAAATTCCAGTTGTACCAGGTCCTCTACGAAATAACTCCACTAAAATGTTCTAATAAAAAAAAATTATTTTAATATAACCAAAACCAAATAGTTTGTTATTTTTAAACTATGTCAACTGTTTTATACCACTTAAATTTTAATCTTTTATCACTTAAGTAAATCTATTAGAATATTCAATACTTGACTTTACATATTACTTCATACTTGACTTTACATATAAGCCCATCCATAAAGTACGTACACAGGTATGGGAGAGGGGGGTTTCTTAAAAGGGGGGTTTCTTAATACTAACTAAGTATATAAAATATGTGTACTAGGGGGGAGGGGGTGTTAAAGACAGTGGTATGCGGTTTGACTATCTCTCCTAAACTTTATTTTTTTTAAAAAACTAAATTTGATGTATGTAACAAATTAGAATAGTGTTTTTTTTTTCCTGACTTCAATCACAATTTTTTTTTACAGGTTCGTACAAGAGGGGAGGGGGGTCCTAAATCAGTGGTTTTACTGTGTTCATACTTTATGGATACCCCTAACTTTTCAACTTCTACAAAATATAAATGGCAGATCTTAAAAAAATTTTGTCAAAAAAATTTGTTAAATTAATGAAAAACCTGAATTGGTTTTGGGATCAACTCTTCTTCATTTGATAAACATGAAAGACTTAGTCCAAAAAGTCTAAAGCAAAAATTTATAAAAAAATATTTTTATTACCATTTTAAAATATTTTTCTAAAAATTTATTTAATTTGCTTACTTTCCAGGAAGTGCTGTTAAAGTACTGTACTTAGATGTTTTCTTGTTCATAGCCCAATGATAAATTGGGGACTTTTTCATAGGATTTTTCCACTTTTTTTGGTTATTCAAGTCTAAAACAATTAATTTTGAAAAGTTTGAAATTAATTAATAAGTATAATTGTAAAAGAAATAAATTATTTAAAAAACTGCAACCACAATTAAAAATGCAACCACAAAATAAATTTTAACCACCAAATAAAAACCACAACAATAAATTTTGCAACTGAACAAATAACTTAATTAGAAAAAAAAAATTTAAAACAAAATACTAACCACCTAAACTCATACGTGTTGATGTTTGTTTGCTTTTTTTCAAATAAAATTGACAGGATGAGTCAAAATCAATGGGATCATATGGATTGTAATTTTCATCACGCAAAGAGTCACGAATTCTACTGTGATTGACTTTAATTGAATATGGAATTTCATGACCTTTGAAAATTAGTAATATAAATGTCAAAGGTCGAAAAACACATTTAACTATGTAATAAATAATGGAAATAAACTTAAAGAAAAAAGAAATTTAAAACAAGAACCTATTAATGGATAAGGAATTTCTTTTGTCGCAAGCCATAGTTGATATAAACTATTTTCATCTGGCTAAAAATCAGCAATTTTATAATTTATTAATGTTGATTTTTTTATCTTTTATATAATATAGATATTATTTGTTAAATTTTTATAATTGTCAATAAATTTACCTGGATTTGAAATTGTTCTTGAGCCATTTTAACAACTGCTTTCGCATCATGTTTAACAGTAACAGTCAAGGTTGCTGTCTAAATAAAATTGAATAATATGTTAAAAATTATTTTTTACTCACTTTGAACCGTATTAATAAATGTTAATAAAATTAAAATAAAATATATTTTAACTATATCAATAAAAGATAATATAAATTAAAAATTCATATTATCTTTTCATAATGTAAAACATACAGCGTTTTACATTACAGTGCTATACATATTTAATTGCAAAGCTAATTATCAATATTCTTTATAATCATCTCTTAATATTTTTTTAATTATTTGGAGATTGACATTCTCTGAAAATTTTCAAGCAAACATGCAACAAAACTCTTTCTAAAACATGGTGTCAATAGGTATACCAAAGAAACTTTTTATTGACGTGTTTTTCAATTATCTTTACAGAGCCATTTATCCAACCTGAAATTTGATAGAGTTGTGTTGAAAACCATTACCACTAGAGTTTTTTCTAGTTTCCAGGCCTTGACAGTGTCTATGGTTGCTGTTACCTGACTAAAAGTTGCACTAAAACCAAACTTTTATTGATAAACACACTGCTTATTTTGTTGGCAATAATTTGTTTAAAATGCAGTAGTGCTGTAGTGGTAAGAGCGTTCGCTTTGTAAGCGAGAGATTCGGAGTTCAACTCCTACCAGGTCCCTGGAAGTACCGTGCTCAACTTGATTTATCCGTGCAGCGGTCTTGCATGTCAAGGTTCGTGTTTCAGAGTTAAAGAGTTGAGAGAGGGTTGTACCAGGATTTACAACAAAAAAAAAAAAAAATGAGTAGCCTCCTCGACTGTAGTGGCCCCCTCGGGCCTTATGGAGGTGAATAATAAAATAAAAAAAAAAATCTTCATTACCAGGCCAAGAAATACTATTCCTCGTTAACAATTTCTGGTCTTTGCATATAAATCTTTTCTATACTGGTAAATTCAAGCTCTACCAATGAATATATCTGGTTTGGCATTAGGAATTTGAGTACACAAAGTAAAAATTGCGAGCTATGAAGTAACTTCTTTACAAATAGATTGACATCAAATTAGAACAAACTCCAACACTTAGTTACACCAGTAAAGAATGTTATTGAGAAAACTTGACGAGTATGCAACAAAAATCAATAAAAAAGTGTAACAATATAATTAGCATGAACGATGAAAACTTTTTTAAAATTTAAAGTTTAAAAGAGAACTTATATTGTTGCCTATAAAAAATTCTGTTAAAATATAAAACAGATTAATATTTATTACTATTTGTAAATATCTAAGATTTGAAAACTTTTCAATAACTTTTTTGTTTAAAAAAAAAAAAAAAAAATTATATTTAAAATTATTTCCTTTCAGAAAAAAAAAAAGCTGTAAAATAACCTGTATAGAATAACTATCTTCTTGATTAACCTTGTTTATTACATTTACTGTCACCTCTTTTAATTCAAGACGTTCTTGTTGCTCATCACGACACCTACAAAGTTACAAATATAAAGATA